TCTCCAGCCTGTCTAGGTCTCGCTGAATTCTCAGCTGTATCATGTACGGGCAATGACATCATAACCAGCAGACTTCTGACAGCTGCCTCCTGACTCCTGGACGCTCATTCCTGTTAAAAATGCCATGCATCTCCTAGTAGCTAGTGAATGACCTGAACCTCCATTTACTAAAATTGTGGAAGAAAGTGCCTATAAACCCCTAGGAGGAACTCAGAGTTTCCATGATTACAGGTCACCACAAAAGGTCATTCCCACACAGTCATCTTTTTTCACCATGCATGTAATCAGATTATTACTTTACTCCCTTCCAACACTGCTCTGTTACGCTTGTGTCTGCAGCCTGAGAGGAAATATTTGTTTTCTCTCAATGAAAACATTAGGATATTTTGCAGGTGGATTCTATAATACACTGTTCTAATGGACAAGTCCATTAAAGGAATAACAGGATTTCAGAAGGTTTATGTTTTTATAAATAAAGATATACCAAGTATAAATTTTTCATCCTGTCATAGCCAATGCAATCTATCCCTCTAAACATTCATACAAATAGTTTTCAACTTGCAGATTCCTGGCGGTCCTTGAACTTCATTAGAGTTCCTTAAAAAGGAACAAAGAAAAGCAAGTTGGCAATGAATTGCAGCTGACATTTATGGTTCCACAGTTCTGCCAGAGAACTTACAGGGAACCAGAAGATTTATTTATACTTAACTTTATCTATACTTAACTATTCTAGCTATTCAAGTGCAACCTACCACTTCATAACAGCTTGTTTTAAATTCAGCTCTTTGTTAGTAAAACCACAGCCAAGCTACTCTTAAATCCATTCACTTCCCAATTACTTCCATGGAAAAAAATTACATTCAATAAAATCACATTTATTTACCCTACAATATGAAATCTGAGGCAGAAGATTCCCTGCAATTTAAAAATGTAATGTCACTCCGTGAAATGGAAAGCATTTTATTTTCTTGACTTAGTATGGTCATTTGCTAGGCCACTGCACGATAGAAATATATCTGTGCTCTGACATTGTAATGAGAGTACTTTCACCAGCTGCGTACGTACCTTGACAGACAAGGTGTTAGCTACTATTCCATCCACTATACTTTCAGTAAATGGATCGAAGTGTTTGTCCGGTCTTCTCATGAATTCTGGCTTTAACCTGTATCCGCTTTTACCATTGTACTCATACATTCCCATGTTTATTTGCATAGACAAATCTAGATTTTAAAAATATTGATAAGAATAACATTCTGGTTAGATAACAATCCAAAAAAAGCAATAAAATAATACTATTTATTGTAATTGCAAATCGACTGTAATGTTAACAACTATTTATGGCACGTTGTTGCTTGCTAAAAGGCTTCAGATGTGATCGCAGCCACTCCCTCGGATTGTTTTGATCAGAAAAAGATACCTGCAAGACATCTTTCAGAGACTACTCAATAGATAACATTTTCAACCTTTAATAGAAGCCTTGACAGTTAGGTTTTGAGTCTGTTAGTGTGGTACTATTGCACCTGACCCAGCAGAGGACTTATGTTTCTAACCCATTCTGAAAGCAGACACTGGGTGCCCAATATTTGGTTGAAATTGGCCCAAAGAGGTTTTTATTACTCTGCAGACTCGCAGCCTGTGGAGGATTTTGTTTTCTGTGGAAAGGCAGTGTAGAAATGGGCACAACTGGAAAGTAAAAAGGGAAAAATACCATAGTGCCATGTCCTCTGAGGCAGAACATGGCCATGGTAAGTCCTGGGATGCAGCAGATAGAAATATTTATATGTCTCAGAACAGACACAGCCTTGGAAGGCAACACATTCTATTTCAAAAGTGACTTGTGCATCTAGGAGCCCAAATGTCTTTTGTTTCTTAAACACTCACATTTAAAGTGGAATTTGCTGTCCAAGTCCCTTATGTCTTCATATATTGAGATTTTGGAAGACACAGGAAAAAAATCCCTGCCAGATCTGAAATGCTGCTCAATGGTAGCTACTTAAAAACTACGAAAATATGGAGGGCACCACATATGCGTATTATACTAGCCACAGCATGGTAATTAGAATATTCCTAGTTAAAAAAAAAAAATAAACTGTTTTAAAAATGTTAATTAACAGCTCTGTAGTATCATTCAATCACTAGACATCTTTTGATGCATATAGCCTTTCTTACCTATGAACCAGAAACTATATGAGAGAAGTGGAAATGTACAGCTTACAAGATCCAGAGACCAGCATAACTTACCCACAGTTTGGAAGTTAAGAGCAACCATTTGGCAGCCGGCATTCCAAAAGACTTGTGGCATATAGTTCGAAGAATCTACACGTGTTCCCTTTGGGTAAATTCGGCTTAGTTGCATTTTGTTGTATCTGAACAGTGAGTAGTTAAGATATAGTACGTGTGACAAAAAATCACTTTGCAGAGAGGTGCAACTGCAATATTTAAATTCAGGTGATGATTACAGAATTCAGTGGGTTTCTTATTGGATTTCTGAAACCATAATGCTTAGAGACATTGACAATTTTGTAGGAGATATGATAAATATGGGGTAATTAAAGATGCTGTTCATTCCTGTGCAGAGTACTCAGAATAAGCAAGGAAATAGCACAGGCATATACATTAAAAAGACAGCATTCATTAAATTCCATGTAATGGTTACTAATCTAGGATTTTCCTAAGACTGCATTTATAGAGGCCAAATAGCGGTAAACAGTGAATCTTCCTCTGGTGTGGGGAGAGCTGCTCAGTTAAAAAGTGTGTGCTCTTCTGGAATAAGCATTAGAATTGGCCTCTACATACAGACAGAAATGATAAGTGTACACTTCTTATAGTTGAGTCTACAAATCTCAGAGATGAGAACATGCTGTGGGCTATCTGTGAAAATAGCTTTCCATTAATCCTCTTTAAGGCACTATTTTATCTTGACCATTCATTCTTAACTGCAGGCACAATGAGAGACACTGAGAAACATGAAAAGTCCAAACAGAATGCTCCTCAGCTTTTCTTTAAAAGTTATTAAAAAACTCTAAAGAAAAAAAGAATTGCGTGGCGATAAACCAGCTCAGTGCTCTTAGAACTAGAGGTATGATGGGAAAGCAAGTTTCTCATATGACGTTGCAAAAAAACCAAGTCAGCCACCCTTTCCCAATTTGCTCATACCACCTCATATGGGATGATAAATTTAACAATCAGAATACAAAGTATCAGGTCTCCAATCTGTAGTTTATGCCTGTTCCCTCCAGTCCTAGCCCACAGCACAAGGACTCATGCCAGCTTTTAAATTAGTTCATCTGAACTCAGGCCAATTAATTCATCTAGGAAGACAGTCAAATCTACAAATCTCATTTGCGTTCCCTACTTCCCCAGCTCCTGTCTCCAAATTCTAATGGAGCCCTGTAACAGATCTCAGATATAGGAAGGCTAAGAAAGCAGCTTCCTGGAAGTCAAGGATACTCCACAAATTCCACAGGAGACTTCGTAAGTTGTTCAAGCCCTTTGGTTTCCACAAAGGAAGACATTTCAAAACTTTTGTTGCGTTCTGAAAGTTTAAAAGGGAATTAAAAACAGTGACACATTACAGCATGAAATCATATGCAGTACACGAGCTGCAAACAACTGGTTTAGTCTCAGTCCCCTTATCCCACCTACTGTTCACCAGCTCATTTCACCTTGATCTCAAAGAATTTATGTACACAATCATTTGCTGACAGCAGTAAGCTCACTCTGCATGTACTCCAGAGCTCCATCTGAACTCGCATTAGTGCTGCCCAAATTAACACTGGGACTGCCTGAGATTGCTACTGTTTTGCTGCAGGCGACAGAAAGTCAGTGCACAAGCAGAGAACTCTCACGCTTGCTTGCAAAATACCACGTTGATGTATTTGAGAGGCAGAGCCCAAAGCTCACAGGTGTGACACAGAGGTATTGTAGCAGTTTTGTGGGGAACACAGAGGGCCCTGCTGCATCTCTAGATTGTCTCTGCAGGAAGATGCAAGGGCTTTGAGACAATTTGAAGCTATAATAACTAATGTCCGTATCAGATTAAACTAAGCAGTGTGCTAGCTGTGCCTACAGTGGTTCTCACTGTCTTCAGTATGTCAGGGTAAGGTCACATCTGTCTCAAACCATCATGGAAACACTGTTATCTAATCAAGCCTGAAGGTACAATCCTGTGTCCCAGCAGGTCTTCAGACCTAATCCCGAATTAATATGGAGCTTCTATGACTTTTTTAATTTGGTCAAACTTTCTGACCTGACAGTGGTGAAAAGCTCCTCCTAAACTTATAGCTCAGTAGGGCTAAAAACTAATTTGTGTATCGTTTGTTATTCACCTTTGCCTGATGTGTACACAGCCTTTCAATGAACCCATGGGACATACTGTAGCAGAGAGCCTAAGTCAAGACACTTCCAGGTTCAGTATTTTTTTCTTTACACATTTGTACAGAAGGTAAGGATTCCTGTAAAATAACACCTTCCCATTTCATCACAATCAGCTGTGTAGATTGCCTAGAAGGAGCCACAGTGCTGGGAGGTCATATCCATTAGATATCTCAGCACTGCTGTCTTTAAAAGGAGGTAAAACAGTGCCTGGTTCGAAATATGAGCTCCCTAGCCTCACCATTTTATTGAAAGCAAACAATAAAGCACACAAGAGGCTTGCCCTTACCCGGTTTTAGAAGTAGTTGTGCTGCAGTAATCCAGGGATGGCCAGGAGGCCAGCCTGGCCAGATCCTTTAAGTCAAACAGCGAAGCCGCAGGAGAGGGATAAAACTGAACAAAAGCACTTGTCTTGCAGAGAGAAGCAGAACAGAAATAGGTGGGCACTTTCCTTATAGGAAGCCAAAAAGGAAGCAGTGGATGCAAAGAACTGAGGAGCTAGATTGGGCCAACATGAGAGGAAAATGTGCTGCCAGCCTGTGAACTACAAACTATTCTCAGTGTATGTTGAAGAATCAGAGGATGACCGTGGTGTTCTAAAAGTGATTCTCTCCCCCTAGGAGAGCTGGGACTCAGACTTTATTGTGGTCCCTATTTCTAATTAGCAACCATCATGCTACTGCCATTATTCATAGCTGTTATCTCCTAATGGCGAAAGAAACCTGCCATTCCCTAGAGGCTGCTCTACCACTCCTCTTCCTTTCACACAAACAATATCCTCTCTTTCTCCAGACTCTGTTCCAGACAGCTCACCTCTATCTCACCTCCTTGTAAAGGCACTGAGATTATTCTTATTCCATCCTCCCCCCTTACTAATGGGATAGCACTAGCAACACACATATATAGTGGTTTTATTCTATTTATAATATAGGTGCTAGAATTTGTTGTAGTAATGTACTGTACCTCTTAGCCTTATCTTGAAGTAGAGGATCAGTAGGAAACCACAACTGGTAGCTGTTAAATTACCTGGTTACTAAATGTCCAGGGCTTAATCAAACTCCTAATTAAAATAAGAACAATTATTTCTTTGCAGAAAGAAATGCTCTCTTTCTGGAGAGGATTAAGAAACTTGCTCTTCGAAGAAGACTGTGCAGGATACAGATTTCTCTCTTGCGATACATTACACTGTGCTATCTTATCAGAAAAAGTCACTATGGAGTGGACAAACAACTTGTTAAAAACGGCCAGAAAAACTTGAAAAAAATACAGTTTTTACAGCTACTTGCTGTCAGAGAGAGGGAATATATCTAGTGAGAGCAATCAGGGGACTGTTACAGATCCAGTGCTATTCAATATTTTTGTTAACAAATTGGATGTAAGACCAGAACGTGCACTTCTGAAATGTGTGAACAACAGATGCAGTGAGGTGCTGTTATCACCATGGAAGCCAGGATCGCAAAATAAAACAATTTCTGAATTAGAAAATATTAAATTAGAAAAACACTGTAACACTGAGACGGTGAAACTGTATAAAAGAAAAGTGGAGCTTAGGGAAAATAAGTCACGTGAACAAAAATAAAAGCTGGGCAACAACTAGATAGGCAGCAAATTAAAAAAAAATCCTCACCTAACTCCTTCTTTACTCAGTTAATCTTCATTGAATTTAATGAAGGTTCAGCATTGAGTCCAGACCAGGACTAGGACCAGAAGCCACAGGTCATGCTATAGTGCCCACTGCTTTAACCAGCCAGCAACACTTACCATGTAAGGCCACTGCTATAACAAACTGGTAAGGTTTACCACCCAATGATTTTTTCAACACAAACACCAGAAATATTAATCCCTTAACATTATGAGTTCACAGAAACAGTATGGTTGATTAAAGGTCACATCTAGATTTAGGATAAAAAAATCTGGACATCACCAGGTCTTTACAAAAGACAAGACTTGGAAAGGCACAGGCATGTGAACAGAAGAAATCTACACAAGACAATTTTAAAACAGCTGCATCAACTTGTCCTGCTAAGATTCACATGGCTTCCTTTCCAGAAGGAATATCTCCTTCCCACTGTGTTCCTTGAACTCTCATTAGAGCTAACTGAGATTATAAACATCCAAAGGGACACTATGACAGGGAACAAGCATAGCTCTCTGCATGATTTTGTGAATGTTTATGTGTATGTCTGTATAAATACCCACATACAAATGAACAGATAGCTCCTTATGCATTTATTATTCATGATGAGTAAATGCAAAACCTTGCATACAGATATGGACTTAGGCACCAGCTACCAGTACTCTGCCAAGGCCTCCACAAATACATGATAAATTAAAATGCTATACACTTCTTTAACTAAAAAGCTCCAAGAGCATACTGCAACCTGTCAAAACAAAGTGAAAAAGGGCAGATAAGCAGTAGGGGGTTTTGCACGAAGAAAGGAAAAGATGCTGCAGTGTTTATTGAGGATGCCACTGAGTGCATTCCTAGCAAGGCATCTTCTGTAAAAGCCAGCAGGGGATGAAGTTATAGCCTTTTCTATACAACACACAGAGGCAGGAAAGTGTGAATTTGCATATGGGGAAGAGCAGACACTGCTTACACTGAAACCTTTGTTAGAGTAGCGGGGGCAAACTATAAAGCACTTGCTCAATCTAAAGGAACATTTATGACCACCTTTCTCAAATGGCTTAAGTTACTCTTCAGTCATGGACAACAAAAACAACGTAAGTACAACATCTTCAAAAATGTTTCTGAAATGGCAGCATGTATACTATTGATGAAGCTTGATATTTAAACTAATGCAGGTTTCAAAATAAATATGGATTTATTTGGCTGGATACCAAAGGAACATTTTCTGTCTGTGTGCCTGTATCTAACTGAGAGGAAGCCAAGTAGCATTTCTCCAGAACTTTTCTCCAAATACTTGCTAGGTAATTTCCAGTATAAGATGTTGCTCATGCTTAGCTTACTTACTTTTTGATACTTCAAATGACTCAAACTTCACAGGCTGAATGTAGTTCACCAGGTTAGACATCTCTTCTGTGGCCATAGCCTCACTTCCAGCAGTACCCTAAGACAGACAAAGGAAAATGCTGCAGTTTTGATCTGTCCATGGTGGCCATGAGAGGCCATAAATACCAAAGCCTAGTTTTCTATCAACAGTGGTATCTTTCACTGATCCTGGCTTAGTGAAGTCAGTGCCTCACACAGGGAGCTTCACACAGTAAAGAAGAAAATTTTCTACAAATTTTAAATATTTAATTAAACTTCTGCTGTATTCATTCTTTTTATGTGGCTCCTAGTGAAGGGACTGCATTACCTTTATGCATGCATAGTGCTGAGCACATTTATCAGTACTGTTGGATAAATAATAAACATAGCTCTAAGTTTTCGATGTCAAGTTTTTCTTCCAACAATGCTAAATACACCACTAGCAGCTGTCTAAAACAGATCAGCTGTGGTATTATTAATTCTTATTCTTCAGTAAATGGAAATATAAATAAACAAAGCAAAGATGTGCTTCCAAACCAATTAACAACCAACTTCAGAAAGTTGGTGGCGTTTCCCAGTGCTCTGCCTCCCTTTCTCCACTAGATGGTAGTCCCACTCCTAGTAACACAAAGCCAGCCCACAACTGCTGGAACCGACCCATCACCATAAAACATATCTACACCCTTACTTCATCCATCGACGACTTTTTACAGTCATCATCATAGTCATCATCATCATCGCTCTCGATCTCTGCTTCTCCTGAAAAGTTTTAAGCAGAAGATAATTACTGGCTGAAGCAAGAGTTATAAATACCACCGGTAAATTCGAGAAACATGTGCAAGTAGCACTGCTTAAAGGAGACTACATTATACATGTGCTTTTTGTCACAGCACAAATCAAACACACTGTCTCGAGGGATTCATCCATCCTCAGCATTGATAAGTTCTTATTGTCCAAACAAACAAAAGCTCTTCCTTTGAAGCTGCTGGATGGTCAGTGTTTGGAAATCAGGCGGTAGGTACCAGCACCGAGGAAAGAGCATTGTGGTGTGCGTAGTGCGCACAGTGTGTAGGGACAGCATCACAAACTACACTGAAGTGATGTTCCCATACTTGCGGCACAGCCCTGGGGTTCCGGGGATGTGAGTTCAAAGTCCCTCTCTGTTGCAGGACCCCTGCACGACCTTCAGCGAATGCCTTCACCCTCTCCAGGACACGCACACATAATAACACGCACAGGGTGAAGAAACCATGCATAGAAATTGATGAGATTGTCATGTGCTGTAGTAGCAAGAACTGTTCAGCAAAATCCACCTGTTCCGAATGTATCACAGCACATGTACCGAGGCAGAGCAGCTGTCAGGAACAGGCACAGGAGCCTAACTGCAACAGCTTGACTGCAATTCCAGTAAGGTGTGCCTTACTGCTAGGACTCCAGTAGCATAACTGCCGGCTGAGGGCAGTGCAAATCAAATAATGTGAAGAAGATGCATAAGGTTCATCCTTTCCCTGAAAATGTACTGATGGAGTAAATGAGACCAAATAAAACACATTTTATGCCTTGGTCCTAATTGCGGTGTACTCATCAAATTCCTATGGGCAAGACACAAGTTCTTTATTATTAAATAATGAATGCCTCCCCTCACTTCCAAAATGTTTCCATTTGGTTGCACCAGAAATTAAGTGGAATTTCAAGGAATATCAATCTTATCTTTCTCTTTTGTAACTTCTCCTGGGGGTTTGACTGTCATAAAGTATACACTGTGTATCTTAAGAAGACTCTGGAAAAGAAGGTTGAACTTACATGGTAGTCACCTATCCACACCTGTAAGATTGACAGCTCTCCCTAAATATTTTATTCCACAAACCTTTCAGTTTTCTTCAGCAGTGGCAATTTTATTTTGGCAGCACAAAAATCTAACCACTGTGTAGCATTCCCAAACTCTCCAGAGAATGGTAATTCAGTCTCAGTTCCTCCTGTCAGTTTAGGGTCTAATCCAAAGCCCACTGAGTCAATAAAGAAACTCTTCTTTGTTCCAGCAGGCCTTGAATCATGCCCAGTGGGGCCCTTCTGAACATGGAGAGCACATATGATTTAAATAATGAGTGTGCCTTTCACAACCAAATGATGACTACCCAGGCTGTGTTTCCTTCCAGATGCAGATGTTGAAATGTCAGGCTTTTATTCACGAACACATTTCTTCCTGAACATTTCATTAAAGAAAATAACAGGATTGCTCAACAGGCTCAAGGGATGGCTCAGGGAACCTCAACAAATTGTAAAGAGCCAGCCGAGCTCTCACAGGATTTGCAGTGACAATCTTTGGATGGGAGGCTCTCAACTGGTTTAACCAGACTGGCAAAATAACACTTTCACACAGTCCGAAAAACTGGGGGAACATGGGCAGATTTCAGCCAACTTGCACTGCTGAGATACCAGGTAGATGATAGCTTGTTCTTGCTAGAAGTGTCCAGGGAGGAAAGGACGCAATGCATTATTCACTTATTTAAAAACATTTAACAGGAAAAGTCCCAGGGAGATCAGATCATATTTTCATGTTCTGCATCAGACAACGAAACCAGGACAAATAATACACAATATTGCAAACAAATAATAAAAATTAGGAAGTGTTTTAGAAAGTATGACTACATCTGCATTGCCTTTCACCCAGCAGCGTGGTCCTATGCTCAAACCCAGCCTCCTTTTCCTGTTACACTGCTAGGACACAAAGTCAGAGCAAGCCTTGGCCAGACTGAGGAAATGTCTGTGCTGCTTCACGCTCACCTTCTCATAGTAGTGGTGGGATCAACCCCACCCCATCATTCCTGTCCCTTCCCAGGAGAGCATGGACACTGTGTATCATAACTGCATGTGGGCTGGCATACACGGCTGTGCTGCAGGTCAAGTCCAGTAGGGATGTGTGAGCTTGTCTAAGGGACAACTAGCTGTAATGGCACAACTATTACTTGCATTTAGGTGGGACTACAAACCCAGGTCAGGACAAGCCCTCTCCATGCTATGTGGCATACAAATACAGTGAAAATGGAGAGCCCTGCTGCAAGGGCTTGCCCTCCAAGCATGAGACAAGAGCCTGCCCATGGACAGAGGCAGACAGTAGAGTATCAAGAAATAAAAAGATGTTGCTCCCTACCAGAACAGGTAAGTTACAACACAGATACTGTCAACCACTCATAGGCAGAAGGGCACAAGAAACTTCTCAGTGGAGTAATGCATCAGTTTCAAGGATGTTTTCAAGGAGCTGCCCCTAGTAAGTGGGGCAGCATGGGGAAGGCATAAAAATGCTCACAGAGCAACATAACAAGTTAACAAAGGAGACTGAATCCCAGCTGACAGGTAGAGGGGTTCAACACAGTAATACTGAATTGAAGATCATTAGGAGAGGAGAGCCGGAAATGACACGCCAAATCCCTGTTACCAAGGGTTGACAAAGCAGAGTGCTAAATATTATCCATTCTCATCACGCCTCAGCAGCGTGACAGATGTTGAGACCCTAAGAAAATGAAAGGTTATACATTGCTTGAAATTCAGAGGAATCTGGTAATCTGCTTTCTCAAAACCCTTTCAAGTAACATCCAGAATGGATTATAAATGTGGTACTTGCTGGTGCAGCTTGTCAGCTCTATAATGTTTAGGCAGCCACCAGCACCTGGGGAGGGGAAATCACCTTTTATTTTTTCTACAGGCTATAAATCAGCACTTGCTGATTTTTAAAAAGGAAAAAAATTAACTTTATTCAGTTTGATAAAACATTTTACTTTGTAACGGTGGGCCCTGGCCTCAGCTGGCATGCAGCAACAATGTACCAATGCATTTACATACACTGAGCCTAAAACTCTTTATCCAGTTTTCTCTTCAGTCATGTGAAATTGAGACAATTCTACCCTCTCTTTCTGTCTTCCTTTAACTCTTTCCTTGCAGCACCCACTACTCTGACAAAAATCTCATCCTATCAGTGAGACAGTAACAATTTGCTCAAAAATTTAAATACCGTTCAATTAGCAAGTTTTCGCTACTCTCAGTAAAGGCCTACTTTCAGTAAAATGCATGTACCTGAAGAATTGCCACTGTTCTTTTTGCAGTGTAATCTAACTGTCGAAAATCTTGCTTATTTACATCTATTCATTGTGCTAAACCAGCCAGGTCTAAAACGCTTGTTTACCAAAACAACAATCTCTCTCACTAGTGCTATCTCAAAAATTCTTGTTTCTGTTTTGCCAGCTTTGCTGTACCTTCAGGGAAAGCCTTTTCCACTGACAGATATTATACCCTACTGATGCTGCTTTACACATCAGTTTCATGAATATCTTTTGAGTCATTCCACAAAGCTCATTCTGGAATTGATTTTTAAATTATTGCTACTGTATCACCACCACCTAGCTTTTATATGGTATGTTATATGAACATATCGAAAGAGTGGTTTATTCGGGTTTAAATCTGACCACAAGCAGTGTAAGACACAGTGAAGCTTGCTATCAACTGAAGTATGAATCTCCATATTTTTTGCACCGCTGTGGAAAAACTCATTTAAAATCTCAAAAAAGCTAAATCAGCACAACTTTCTCCTGCAGATCTTTTTTTTTAGGAATTCAGTTCTGACAGGAGCCACACAATAGATTTGTTTCAATAATATGCCCAACTTGCTAAATGTAAAGATTATATTAATGTTGGAATATTGAAACACTTCTTGTTAAGAAATGTTAAGAATTAGACTTCCTTTAGTGAGTCTTGAGTCAAATTACTCTTCTTATGCTCCAGAAAGAAATTGATGCTGAGTATACAGGAGCATAATGCTTGCAGTGCTTCAGCATTAGGTGTTGCTGGTATTGAGATGCAGATAAGGAATGAGGCACTGAAAAGAAGGGTGACTGCTGAGCACTGCCCCACGCAACCACGCTCTTCACTGGGTCTTGCCACAGCAGTCTTATAAAATGGTGAATAATTTTTTTTTTTTTTTTTAATATTAACAGGCAGAAATCTGGCATCTGATTTACAGAAATGCTGTGTGCTCATAGTTGTAAACTGTAGCTGAAATCTCTGGAGCTCTACTCTGAACACTTAAAAATTCAAAGTATTCTTGAAAAATCAGATCCTGGATACTCCTTGTCAGTCACTCCTAAACTGTTCTTAAGCTCTCTCATATTCAGCTGTCCTTAAATAAAATTGGCTTAATATTATTTCACTTCCCACAGGTATTGTTCAGATAAATTCACTGCTGTTCGTAAAGTGCTCATACGCAGTCTGGATACCCCCACAGAAATTCACTGCAAGATGAGGATGCTACATCTAGGATCAAGTACTGAATGACAGAGAGAGAAAAAATATTGACTAACTGCATTCTCTAAAAGAGGCATAGGTCCTACAAGAGAAACAAAGGCTAAGAGAAAGATTACAAATAATATATTTTAGCAGTCACAGATGAACCAAGTGACCACATAAATTTTGCAATGCTAGTTCTAGCATTTTCTAGTTTGTAAATTAATTTTCACAATCTACACTTAACAAAGGTTGTTATATAGGTAATCCAGACATCATATGCACAGTTAATTTGTAAAATTACACTCCCTGCTATGGGACTGACCCCCTGGCTTTGCATCATCATCAACATCTAGATTCACAGGCCAGGTCTTTTATTTTAAAAGCTCATAGAGAGGCTCCTGAAAGACAAAGCTGTTACCCTCTATGCAAATCAGGCACTCAGAAAGCAAAGACATATACTTTGGCACTGGGTTCTCACTGTGTGCTGGTAACATAAACGTAGAGCTAGGAACCCAGGGTTGATTTCAAGTGTTGGAAAAGAGTCAGTTGGCATATACACACTTATTTTTCTGTTGCTTGGGATTTGCCTAAAGCAAATCAAGAAAACAGTATTAAATCATTCCTGACAACGGGCTGAATCTTCCTTTGAAATCCAAGCCCTACTCCAAAGCATGCCATTTTCAAAGTTTCTTAACACAATAGTTGAAAAGTCTTTCTTTGCTTCTAATAGGATAAACAAAGTTATCCACAAATACAGCAGGATTTTTTTTTAATAATTCAGCTTGAGGCAAACTGCCAGCATGATGATTTTCAGCTCAATTAATCAGAGTTTAGAAAAAAACTACAAACAATGGAAAGAAGTTTTTTAACGGCAAATTATAATGAATTTATATTCCAGTAGAGCTTTTAATTTGGTCTAGAAGTATTCTTACTACAGGGGCATAAATTTACACTAAATCTACACTTTCAGCAATCCAAAATTTCAGTCTTAGTAGGAAGAAGAAATTCTAGTGCAGGGAACAGACAGTGGGCTGGGAATCAGGATATACAGATTTTCTTATCTGTCTCACTGCTAATCTGTTCCCGTGGTTTAGAGCAAATCCTTAGTTTATGTTTTTCTCTGCACTTCTCTTTGTCTTTTCTAGTTAGGTTTTAAGTTCTTCAGGACAAAAAACATCTCTTACTAATTTTTGTATACCAACATTCGCAATGATCCCCTGCAGATCCCATGGGCACTACTAGAATATATGCATTAAATTGGAGTAACTTTTCTATTTCATTTCTGATTTTAAAGATTCTACTAATAATGAACAAGTTAAGTGTAATACACTGCTTTCCATTGGCTACCTTCCTGATAATTCCTGATGGTAACAAATACTTGTTTGCTCTATTATTTTTGCCTGTTTCCATCTCTGGAACAAAAGAACATCTTATAAGCACTTTGCATAGAGGTCTGTGACATGTTCCCAACTAATGCAAGACAACAGTGGGCTGAGCCTTGCCGGCCCGAGGAACAGATATCTCATTCACAGTTACCCTAAATCTAAAGACACTGCAGAACCACTGCAGTTATCCTGTGCAATGGGTTAAGTCTGAAAGGGCACCAAATGGTAGGCACATCTCAGAGGCAACTGAAAAAAAGAAAACATTTATATTTGGTATTGGGCTTGGGCACACAGAAAAGGCACCCAAGGGTGGAGGAGCTGGCAGCATGCTCTACTCCCTAAGCAGTGCAGGTAAATGTTAGTACACATCACTGAGCTTTAGGTCACTCCCTAAGGCATTCCTCAGCCAAGAGCCTTCAGACTTCTGGACCAATGACACCTGGCGTTGTTTCCTACTAACACCCACACTGGTGTACCTTCACCTTGCCAGAGCAACATAAATGGCTTGAACTACAGCTGTAATTGAGCATTTGTGTTTCAGGGAGAAATATATTTATAGATTCAATTCATACCTGCTCCAGGGGAGGAAGGTTCAAACATACTAGACGTATCGCTGCATGTGTTGGAAGCTTGCTCTGAGAGCTTCTTTTTTGCACTTCCATCTGCAGACTTATGCGACTTCTTTTTATTCTTCACCAGAATTTTGTACATTAAATCCATAGGGCTTGGAAGAGGAACCCCAGGTTCAAGCTTGCAGAAAAAGCAAGAGACATTTGTTACAACAACAAAAGAAATGAGTTTATGTCAATTTCTTTGGGTCCACATGGTGCAAGATAATTTTGAAACCTCTATATGTCTTGTTAAAAATGAAATGTATTTTGCACAAGAGGTAACCTCAACGGTAAATGAAACAGGGCTACTGAGGGCACTTAAGAAGAAAAGAAAAATGCTTTATGAAATGTCTACAGTAATAACTGAAATAAGTATTAGTTCAAATATGAAACCCTACAATATAAAATGGCAGCTATGAGAATCAATTGCATTTAGAAGATTACAATTCACTGTATCGGAACAATCTCTGCATCAGAAATTATATGCTTAGGTCACCAACAGCTCACTCTGTTTAACCCCCTTCTTTAGACTGTGTTTTGAAAGGCTGTATATGAAGAATGACACAGGACTAAAAACACTTAAATAAAAATTCACACAGACATCTGTGATTTGATAAATACCAAACCATATTACCGGGTATTTTTCCAATGGATCCATAAGCAATGCATCTCCAAATATTAATCTGCAGTACTCTGCCATTTTTGCCTGTTGTTTAGGGCTAAAGGGTAGAAAAGAAAGAAAGAAATGAGTCCTCCTAATGCTATAGAGTGAAAGCAGCAGTAATGGAATATCTAATATCCTTAAACTAGATATAATTTCCTGATCCAATTGCTGTGATTGTTTCAGAGAGACCTAGATATATCATGCAATTATTCTGATTCCTCTGATAGAGCTTATCAAAAAGGATCATACATGAAGTAAAGGCACAAGTCAATCGAATAATAGTGAAACCGAACTTTTAACACCGAGCTATATTTTCCCATGCACTTAGTAGAAAATAAAAAAATTAGGTTGTCAGTTGTTACCTTTAAGGAAATAACTGTTCCATGAATTTGCCCCTTTCAGGCAACATTTTTATTCAAAGTTTAAATGTTTTCCTCCCTATGTTACTTTACACACATGCCTGGCATTCTTCTCACACACACATCCCCCAATCCCCTTTGGATTTCTTTTTTTTGTCATACCTGACCTAAGGCATAAAAACCAAAACAATTACACAGAAAGCAGTCTCCTCTGCGGGTGTCTCTGTTAAATTTCCCAAGCCAAGGATATCTATCAACTCACTTGGTATGTCTATAGGGCACAGCCATACAGAAGAAGGGGCAGAAGGAATTACTTGGGTCTCTAAACAGCAAAGCTGCAAGCAAAGTTATAGCCACCACTAGAGAAGCAGCTAGCTTACTGCAGGTTTCTAAAATACAGTTAGTTTTATTGTAGATTTTCTGCTAAAATGTAGCCCGCTTTCCTACCCTATTTGTGTTAGCCTGTGTGAGGCAGGTGCTGTGCCTGTGCAGCATGACAGCCTGTCCAGGCACAGCCCTGCCCAGAGCTGCAGCTGCATCTCTTCACCATGCTCCACAACAAAACACCGACCCACCCACAGACCACCTGGGCTGGGTTTGCAACAAAAGCTTGCACTGCTCTCTCCAGCAAACTCAAAAGTACTTCCTCTGGCATATCCTCACTCACAGAAGTCATAGCAAAGATGTAACTGGGCTACTGCAAAGAGGCATTATGTCAATTTGGAGAACTGCTGTAATAAGTGCTGGTATAAGTGCATTTTATACACATATAATTATGTACTGCATGCATGTTATGTGCACGTTAAGAGGGAGCAAGGTATCAAACCAGTCCTCTTAGTAGAGATCTGGATGTAATAACAAGCTGCTAGGTGGAGCTGCTCAATGATAATTTTAGCTTGTTTGGGTACATGGCCAGATTCCTTTTATAAAAAAAATTAAATTTTATTTAAAATCAGAGTGTCAAATTTTACCATAGTAAATTACTTCAGTGGTTTTCATGACATCCTCTAGAAGTAAATCGAACCTCAGTAAACTCTACTTACAATCAACTTTCCCACAGTACAACCAAAGAATGAAATAATTCCTGTGTATTAGTGATAGTTTTAGAACTTGAAGATAGGTTTTACTGCTCAGAAATACTACTCAAATCATCTTAAAATACAGCTCAGTGCTACAGTCACTCTCCTTCTAATTTTAGACAACTGTATATTTTTGTTATAAATACCTGTTTAAAATCAGTAACATCTGAGCTTGGTTATCTTTAAACGTTTCCATTTTCGATACTCTGGTGAGAAGTCTCAATTAAAGAACAGGTTTATATTGCTTAATATAACTTCCTCAACTGCTGTTAATTATGATCTGCATATCACAGAAGATACATGAATGGTATAAGCTTGTAAGTGATGCTACCATAGAGCTATTTTTCATGACAAAATAGACCTGGGCATATTTTTCTCTTGCAAACTAAGAGTGCAACAACCACTATGTCTAGTTTGTCATTAGCTACCAACTGAGCACTGGGCACTGCAGCTCTTCCTGGGGTCAGCAAGGCCAAATCAGAAACAAGATAAAGCCTAGGTGGCATTTGAATCAGAAAATGTAATTTCCCTGAGGCCAGCATTCTGGATATCCCTTGAAGTAGATATGGGGTGAACTGGTCATTAGCTCCCTCCGTGACTAAAAATACTGTGAGGCAGCTTCAAATTATTCCACAAAGCTACGCAAGTGCTGCATGCAGTTTAAATCAGTACAGCATTTCATTAATGCTTTCTTTTGCATGCAGCCAATTCTGCAAAAATGCTAAAAGCTGCTTTTAGCTGAGGATGGAAAACTAAGATGAAGACAAGCAAGGCAGCGGAACTAAGAACCCACATGGGAGAAGGTGATAGGAAGAATAGATGCGGCTATGACAGCATGTTAGCTACCAGGAAAAATAAAGGCACCTCACTCTAGCAAGCAAACAGACTGGGTATTTGCTATAGGTCCAGGGATCATTACAGTGAATTTTATTTCAGTCTTCTTCTCCATCAGTGTATCTTTTGAATAGACATGTGCTCTTAGGACCCAGAAAGTTCATAGGAAATCTCCTTGAATCAGAAGACCACAATTACTGGAACTGTAGTAATTAGATGTGACATCGGAATTTTTAAATGGTCACATCAACTCCAAAAGGAACTCTTGATAGGAATCATTAAAAAAAACCTTTCATTTTTCAAAAAGAGAAAAATGTAATGCAACATTATTTTGGTTTAGCATATAAATTCCAATGTCACTGCATTCCAGAGGCAGAAAGAAGGAAAAGGAAAATTATGTGAAAAACTGTTTTTAATACTATAACAAAATCTTGCAGCAGTAGACAAGACCAAAGTAGGAAAATCTTGGCATTATAAAATAACTTGTCTTTGTGAACTGGACTATATGCAGAGATATTATTAAAAGCTCCTATGAGAGAATAAAAAATATTTAGGAGTGCCACCTTTAATCAAGCAGTACCTTTTGTGTTCTCTCTCTATAAAAATATATACACATATTGTTCCAAGTCACAGATCACTAGTAATAGTATAGATTATGTATTACTATTATAGTATTTTAGAAGTTGGAATATCAGTTTATTTTTATTTTCCCTTCTTTCAAAATCATGAATCAGAGCAACAGATTGAAATACCAACTTTTCTACATCAACATATTTCCTCTTTTATGTTTTGGAACTAAGTATTTCCTGGTCCACATCTACTGTTATTGGAAATTCTCTCACCATTCATGTATTGTTATGAAAACTGATCGCCTCAAAAGAGCTGACTTTATCTGCTTTATGATATTCTCTGTGCAGGCATGGACAGGTAGCACACAGACTAATTATATATGCCCCCAAAATGCACCAGGGCAGGAGAAGATAAAGTGGGAATAGGATACCTGGAGATAAGGAAATGTAGAGAATATTAAAGAAATGTTTTCATTAGCATTACTGTATTGCTTACACTTTGTTTTACTGTGTTTGTAGTATGCCTGTTATGAAGGTCAATCACAGAGGCTCTCTGGCACTACTGCATGACTACTGCTCCTAACATTGTATCATTATCAATTCTGCAGAGGTCCTCCCTCTGCATAAGAGAAAGACACAGATGCTTCCCAGAAGAGTCTAAAATAATTTAAAGTGTAGGAAGAAAAGTGATAAAAATCCTGTTAATATTTGAAATAATTCCAGCAAGAAACCAGCAATATGAATAACTGTAATTAAATTTAATCTTGGAAGCAATCTTATACGGATACTGCTCAAGGATCACTTAACCTTTTTGGTATGTCATCAGTGCATTTCTAATTACAGAGTGTCTGCTTTCAGATTTGCAGATTGCCTATCTTCTTGCAAGCCCAATTTCAAACACCAAGGTCTTCTTGAGGTCTTTTCAACATTTTCAGGGCACTTTTCTACTTTTGATAGAACCACATCTTTTCCTAGTAGTGTCTTTTCAGTGTGCATGTTTTCAGTATAAATGATGGCATGCATAGTATTTTATATATTCTAAAAGTTACGTTTGCCTCTTTTTCTAAACTTTGTATTGTATAAAACCAGACAACAATGAATATACTACACAGAGAAGTTATAGTAAAGGAAATTAAAATTTTTCACATGCTATGAAGATATTAGAGAGGAGTCCTTCTAGAAAAAAACATTGAAAGAAACCAAAATGAGATGACTAATACTATGTGCTAATAAGTAATTTGTTTCCTAAGTGGACAAAAAGTGTTAAAAATATTCTCATGAACATTAACCAGAAGGAAAAAAAAAAAAAATGGAATTTTTAGTCCAGTGGTGATTAATACTGTTATATCTCTGGTGGTGATGTAAAACTTATTTACCTCTGATAATCACAGTCTGTTTAAAAGCCATACACAGAACACAGCCTAAAACCATGTTTCTATTTAAGCCAATGCCAAAATTTCTACTGATTTGTACTGGACCAGCATTTCATTCATACATGAATACTGACGCTTGTAACTTGAAAATCAGAAGAAAAATTTGGTCACCCAAAAACAGGAATTTACGTCATAGGATTTGTTTGACAGCGACTGTATAAAAACACTTAGTATTTTTTGTTAACACTTAGAGCAAAGTCCATCTTTAAGATCTAGGAGAAAAACATTCCAAGTAAATGAAAAGACAAAGGAAGCATTCAATGAAATTAGGTGAAGGTTTCTGTGAGTGGTATGACTAATTGCAGATTTCTCAAACAACTAGTGAAAAAATGAAGAGATAATTGTAGCATTTGGTAAAATAACTAAAAAACAAAATTAGAAATCATACACATTAAATCTGATGATTTATTTCATCAGAAAATAATAAATAGCAATAAAGCCTCAGAAAGAGAAAATACTTGATACTGCTTTTGCAGACTTGCTTCGCTAAAAACCTATGTCATAGCAACACATGGAAAAGGACATCAAATAATACACTTAGGGATAATTCATTACTCCATGACTGGAGTTCTCTGGAGAGAAATGTCCAATGGTTTCTGTGGTGCAAATTATAAAGATCAGAGTAAGGCATGAGTAACTCTGATCCCTTTTTGACATACCTGCAGTATCATACCACCTTTAACTTTGACAGTGTTTCACCTTACAGTCTTAAAGTCACTTTTGCACATAACTTACATCTGACAGGAGTTTATTTCATACATTTTTTTTTTACTTCTTTACTTTCCTAAAATAGAACAGATCACCCTGGAATAGCTGAAGATTTAAGCCTTAATGACTTTAAAGGAAGAAAAATGTAACCCTTCTGGTTAAAATAAATTGGATGTTGCTTTTTCCCTGCCTTATAGTAACACAGTGAATGTATATTTTAACAAATACAGAAGAACGAATACAAAACATAATACATTGAAGAATGATGGTGGAGATCTTTTCTGAAGACCAGAGGTTGCATCTGGAAGCAGCGAGAAAAGCATCGTGAGTTAAAACCTACGGCAGTAGGTGAGCATAAGGAAGTCCGAAGTGACAGAACTTCCACCAAAAAGAAAGGAGTGAGGGGACCTATTAGAAAAAGAAATTTAAAACAGTATCTATGGGGTCTTTCAGAGGAAGACACAACTAACTAACCAGGATTTAACAGGCAGCTGTTTGAATCATAATCATGCGGCCTTTAGATGTGTGCAGAGCCAGTGCATAATTTGCTCACAAAAGGTAGCACAAACTTATACTGTATACTGTATATATGGTACACAGATAGTGTAGGTCAGCACTCAGATTTTAAATTTTTCTACCTACATCATTTTTTATCAGTATTATAACATCTATTCTCAAAAACATTCTTAAATAGCTTCTTCTACCACGTCCTTCTGTTATGACAAACATGTTCTTCCTAAAACAAAGGAAAAGCAGTTAGCCCTCACCCTTTTCCCCTTCAAGAAGCACAAATGCCAAAATCTTCTCTGATTTGTACTAAATCATTCACAGCTACCCCAAAGATTATTTTTTATTTCACATTAAAAAAAAAGTTTCTCAGTTCAAACTCGCCCCAGAAGTGTTGAAAATGTTTTCACAGCAGAAAACAAAAGGGGAAAAGGCAACTGAAATTAAGGCACATGTTATGTGTCAATTATACCACCCCACTTTGAACCATGTGGTTCTATATTCAAAACCAAAGTTAATGTCAAAATTAAAAAAAGAAAAATTAGAACTAACCCAATAATAATAAAGAAATAGATGACTGGGACAAATTTAGAATTGTTCTCAATTATTTTTTTCTTACAACGAAAAAATTGTCCTTTCTTTGTAACAAAATAAAAAAGAAAAAAAAAAAAGAAAAAGAAAACAGCTTACGCAAACGGGTATTTTTTGGCAGAAATGGAACAGCTCCTGGCCATCCATACCAGCTATTTTGTGATCCTATCTAGTCTACGGTTCTGGCTTCTACTTCTAACACGTGAGAAACAGACCAAATTCTGCACACAGAATATGCTTGTAGAGCAGAATTGGGTCATAAGCAGGTGAAATATTGCTGCTTTTTCTTTGAGGAAGTGCCACTACATTCCAGTAGGACATACTGAGATTGTAAATTTAACACAATTTGTCTCACAATTATTCAGACTTTCTCTTTCATGCAAGAGGTTCTTAATTCACGAAGGTTTTTAAGAACATGCCCAATTCATTCTGATCATCTTGGTTATTTAGGCTGATACAAGTTTTTTGGGGGTAAGAGCTGTTGATCATGTGATATAATAAAATTACCACAAGTGCATACATAATTCTATGCTTAGACCTTACAAAAAAATGTAACACCATACAGGAAAACATGGTCATTACTTACGAATCCACATGATTTTCAAAGGAAAGGAGGATTGGAAAGGGTGATGTCTTAAATGCACATTCAGCAATAGCTTCTATTACTTCCTAAAGAAACAAAATACATACAGTTACAAATTTCTGTCTCTAAAGAAACAGCGTTTCGGTTTTTGAAAACAGAAAAGACCCAAAGAGGTCTGAAAATGATCATATCCAAACTGCCTGAAACGAGACATTCTGTTCTAAACATCCCAGAAAGCTCTGAATGTGCTTTTGCAGCAACGAAATTTTTCAACCTGAACTGTAATCAAATTTCCAAAACATCTGATGAGCCTCAAGAATCGCCTTTCTCAAGAAATAACTTATGTCTGCCTAAATCAATAGTTTAAATGTAAAATGTGGTCTTTGTGTGGAGTTATTCCATGCCTGAAGCTATGACTTTCATTAACTATTTTGCATAATAATAAACATGCTCTGACAAATGCATATCTTCTGAACATCACCAGCAAAAGCACACATCCATAAAATCCTTAGTTACTCTGACTCACAAGTTTTAGTTCCCTCTTTTTTGATGAGAGAAATCCCTTTAAGGCAAAAGAAAGAAAAAAACACATTACTCAGTTAAAACAATTGGCAGCCTAGTAATCATCAAACAGAGGGCTCAGAAACTGAAACTTCTGTAGAAGTTTCCTTTCTGCTCTTATGGAAAATGGCAATTGTCAATCCAGTAGAGGAATCATTTGATAACATTAATTTTAGTGGGGTGCACAATACAGTAACGCACTCACTGTTACAAACTATTCAATGTTTCCCTATTGGAACACAAACCTTGTTTTCAAACGAACTTCTAAAACACTTAAGATTTCCCATAATACATTGCTATCAAACTCTGGTTTATAAGAACCTCAAACTCTGGCATTTATAAGAACCTACAAGCCTGTTCCCTCCCAAATTATAGGGATGACTAACACCTAAGAGATTTATTTATTTTAAATAAGTCTCCTCTGGGGATTCCTTTTGTTCATTTTCTGTACTTTTAAAGGCTCAATTAAGAAGCAGAACAGTGAGAAATCCACTTCCTAAAATAAAAGCTGAGCCTCTTGTACATTCTTCTGATGTTGGGTTGCCAAATCCAGGGCTGGAGGGAAAGCATAAGTCATCTCAAGATTTGCTGATATGAGCTAGGTTACAAACAAAATCTAGTCTTCACATAAGTAGAAAAAAACCCACAGCTCTTGCACAAATTGTTGTAGTATCTCTTATAAGATTATAAGAGCAACTCTCAGCACACACAGGTGATGAATGACTATATTTAATGAACTGCAATCACCAAATATTTAAATGCTTCACATATCACTAACCATTCATGTGTTTCAACTAAGACCACTTCTAGTCTTTTCTTTTTCGCAGAAAGGCAAAGAATTTACTAGAAGAACAGTAAATGGCGCAGAAGGCTGGATGAAGGCAGGTAGGAAGCTGTAGTTTCACAGCAGCAGTTCTCCCAGGGGGAACGCACGTGGAGTGATTCCCACTGCATGCTTTCTTTCCAGCTCCAGTAAACCACTAAGTGGTATCACCTTAACGCTGTTCAGACCGGTGAAATTCTCAAAAGCATCTAAGGCAATTTTGCCATTATAAGGGAACAGCAGTGCTGAAAAATCAGATTACAAATATTGAGTCCTCCCAGCTTGATTATGTCCATTGAGATCACTAGCACTGGCTTGGTCTCCACCCATCTGCACCCACCCCTTGGTTATGGAGCATCATGCAGGGCTTAAGAACACTTGAGGCTGGATATGAGAGGTACTGCTCCAAGCAGTCCTGAGGCCACTATTGCTCCTACACACTGGTCAAGCTGTGGAGTAAATCCATAAATTTATTTTGAACTGCCTCCTCAACTGCAGAAAGGGATGAAATCCAGCATGTGTGGGGAAAATAACCTGAAAGAATAAAATCAGGATGATGAAAAATCAGTAAAATCACGGATGAAATCAGAGGATGAGAAGCTCAGGCCTTGGTTCAGTGAAGAAACAGGTATGCTGATGCTTCAGTCTTGCACTGCATTCAAATGTAAATGCAAATTCTCTATGGTCAGAGAGGAACAACAGTTCCATACTTTACTCCACCTGCAGAATGACTACTTTACTCCACCTGCAGAATGACTCACCTGAAACAGGTCTCCAAGGTACATATAAAGTACACACACAAAGATTCCTGGTTATGGTATGAAAAATATTGTTGGTTCCCTATAAGATCTCTCCCTGGCAGCAGCTCACAATCTGCAGTTGAGAAAAACCTTACTGCTTTCTGTATATCATAAAGCAAGGTAAAAAACAACCAAACAAAAAACCCCACAAAAACTCCAGTAACATAAGGGTGGGGAGTATATATTGCTTCTGCCTCCGCACTTCAGAAAGCCTATCTGAGGCAGCGAAAACTCAGACTGAAGAGAAGTATTGTGTTCCGTGGTCACACCAAATGCGAGAGCTGATAAATGATTCAGCATCCAAGACCCAGTGATCACTCTGAATTGATTTTCACACTTCTGACACATTATTTCACTATCATTTTGCTCCTCTTCAGTGAAGCAGCACACTTTCAGTGTTGAAAACAAACCAGCAGTTGATACATTTTTACATTTTTCTGCATGGAGAAAAAATATTTGCCCTGAAGTGACAGATTAAATATTCCTGAATAGGCTTAAAATATCTTCCAATATCTCTCCTGCAAACACAATGCCTAGGCTTGAACATCTAAATAACTAGGCATAA